TGCGACAAGACGTTTAATATTAAGTTGGTCACATTTATGAACCACAACAAATCGTTCACATTTACGTAAAAACGAGCAACACTTGGACAAGCACAATGGGTCGTTTCTGAGTCGTTCTGAAACAAAACAAGGTAAGTTCAATGATTCAGCGCATACTGAAGAACAAGAAACAGGTAGTCACTATGACGTGTGTGAGAGGATTCGAATGGGTTCACATAGGAATGGGTTCACTAGGAAATCCACCACTAGTTACATGCTGCGATTCAGACGAACTTTCCGTTGGATGCCTCTCGTTATAACGAAGAGAAAAGCTGCTACCACTGGATAGTGGAGATCAACCGATGCATGCAACAAGGGGGTGACAGCTGGGTTCATCATCCGCGAGCATACCCAAGTAGACAACTGCAGGTGAACGCATTGGGGAATCACTAGGAGAGGTGCGGAGAAACCTGTGACATAATTATGATGAATCAACATTGATAGTGGCGTATGAACCGAACCCAACTTGCGGTGCGAATGTTCGGGAGTGGGCACCACTCCGTAATCCGCGTAATACGCATGGCCAAACTGGAACGCCGGTTTCAGTGTGACGTTCAGGTGCGGTTTCAGAAATAAACCAGGCTACTCACGAGTAATATACGATTTTTAGAGTATAGAGAGTGAGCATCCAGAACACGAAACTCGATGCTTTGTTGTCCATCGTCACATGCCGCTTCTCCACATTTGTCAAATTTTCAGTTTGCGAAGCAGACCACAGCAATAGAAGCTGGTGCAAATGGCTTGAAGTCACTCCCAACAATGGTGCGTCAAGCAGAAGCCAACTAAATGTTCCCATTGTTACTGGTGGATTTTTGTGAGAAGTGTAATGTTCGTAATGTTCCCATTGTTCTTGCAGTTTGTCCAGAGGACAAGGCTGGCTCAGTACCATCCAACTCACAAGTTGTACGCAATGGCTGAACTCCTTCCCTGCCCCCAGGTTTGCCAGAACCCACAACGGATACGTTGACCCTAACCCAGAAGTTAGTATCAGTAGGCTCGATTACTTCACCCGTATACCCACCTTCCCTGTCCACAGAGCTGTATCTTCACATTTCGGATAATTCGGAAACAATCGCTGAGACCTGTTCACTGACGCAGATGAAACATCTGCATCACTGTTTCAGCAGGCACTAGAGTTGCCTGGCAAACCACGGCGCAGATATGTTCTACTCATAGATGCACGCTCCATCAGAAACAAAATCACTACCCTACGAACACTTATCTCCCTTTCGAACATACTAGTTGTACTGGTCACTGAAACATGGCCATTGGAGGACACTCCTGTGTCAGTCCACCACGTCTCAGGCTACTAGACTATGAGGATGTCACAACGCTGGACTAGCTAGCGGCTGCGCCATTGATGTCCACAATGCTATTCACGCCTCGGTATCACTGATTTACGTACGGGGGCGACTCGAACAATTCTCTTTTTAGATGTCATCCTGGATAGTCTCATTATTATAGGATGCATCTATTTGACGTCTAATACTAACTTTATTGAGATAAGCGGCTTACAAGGGGTATCATGCCATATTACATGCCAACCTGCAAGATGCAAGATAACAGGGAGAAACTTCAAAATGCCTGATCTGTCATGGTACTAAAACGATGTTGATACAAACTTTAAAGCATGTTTGTCTCCCAATAGGATTTATTCTTTGCAATCGGCGTATCCATCGCTTCCGCCGAACTTCGGAAGCACTTCGCTGGTAGTGGTCATATAGTGGTCTCCTTCTAATTCTGTGTTAACGCTCATGTGGAAAAAACAGATCCAACAGGCGACTTTTAGGTCCTTCAGAACTGCCGACTGAGGCCTGTTTACCAACTTGACTCACATAGTGCAAAAAACGAACTACCTAATAATATCTATTGCTCTGTGAATGTCCGATTCTTATTAAGCACAAAAAGCTAGCCACCAATGGTAAAGAACCTATGTAACACAAATGATCTGCACAGACCAACATCTGCTCAAGGTAGATGGTAAATCTAATGAATTTTCTTTATTAATACAGAACTCAAAGTTGGCTGTGAATATAGAGAGGGATAATCAAGCCATGCAAACTGACAATAGAAAGCGAGCATTAGATAGTCAAAACAGAAAGCACGAGCTAGTCAGGCTATTGAAGAGATCCGCTAAACAGGATTTAGCTGCTATTTCCTTGCCAAGTGTTAATTGACAGGTGAGTGATCCGATTTGTACAAGCTATTTCGCTGCCTCATACAGCGAAAATAGGGAAATTACAGCATCATACGAACGATCAACTCAACAGTAACTGATTCGAACTCTACGATATACAAACCCATAAAGTCATTCAACTATTTCCCTTCAAAAATTTTAATAGATCAAGAACGACAAACATTTTGCAGGATAATCTGAATTCAGTATATTTCGTGTATTCTCTTCAACCGCTCATGAAGTCCAGTAAATTCCTTATTCCCTGATCCGGACAATCTTCTATCTGCTAATATAAAATTCAGTAGTGATGACAGCATTACATAATTTCTGAATGTGTTCACCTTACCCATACTGTCATACTGGCTCAGTGGAAGGAGGCATGTTGATGCCAAGTCACAAACACCACGTTCATTCTTTGAAGCAAAAAGATATCGACCGAGGTTGGTCACATGTTACTCTTATCAAAGATAATGGAGTGTCACATATGTTGTGAGATCACCGACTGCTTCCGCCCACTCCGATGGTGAGAACACTAGACGAGCCGATAACGGAGTCTACCTGTCTCGATAGGCTTGTACCGGAACGAATGACACACTCTACCCGCGTGGTATCTGAGCTAAACCTTTCCAACCTAAAGCTAATGATTATAAACTGTGTGGTGTTACCAGTCGGTCCGCAGTAAGAGCCACTTCCATTGAAACACAGCAAGGAAGCATGGAATAATAATGTTATGTGGTAGTCCAAATGCATCCAGGATGTAGTCAAAGTATGGATTCTGTCACCAGTCACATATCGAAGCGACATGTCTGCATGGAGCTTATGTGTATGGTGTGCTGGACTGAGGGTGGTTTTTGGTAGCCAAGATGTAGTCATGGTCATGCGGATCGATATAGCATTGTGCTCTTTCTGGTGCACATAGAACAAGCGAGCGTTATCTGCGGAGGCAACATGCGTAGTCCATGGTAAACTGAGTTCCGTGCCTGGTGTATTTGTTCAGAAAATTGACAACAACAGGAAAACCTGACCACGGGTGAATCAGCCAAACGATCATGTTGACGAGTAGAGCGCACTAGTGAACACCGAGTCCATCGGAACTCGCGAGGAACGCTTTCAGATCTCCGAAGGTGTGCGCGTGCCAACAGTTTTCGTTGTCACCAGGGTGATTAGCTTAAGTATGGCAATGAGAACACAGGTGATAGAACATTGTGAAGTCAATAAATAGCACTAAAAACAAATCGTACCTATTTATGCATCGTAATGCACCTACCTAGAGTGAACCAATCGGATGCTAATTAGCCTTTGGGTCAAAGCGGATGCGTGGATCAAATGTGGCAGACTCCATGTGTACCTCGTGCACGGTTTGCTGTGTCGATACCGATATGAAGTTAAGTTGGTACCACTCGAATGGCCAAATGCACAGACGCTCTAGGTTGAATACCGACCGACAGAACTACCCACTGGTGCTTGTGATATCATGGTTGGACGTATGGGGTAGAGAGCACGCTGTTCTCATAAGATACCAACACTTATCCATCTGATCCTCAATCCGATGTTCGTGTGCAAATGCCGACGATCCGAGAGTGTTGTTAAGGTTAGTGTGTGATTGGTGCTGCTGCGGTGTAAGCAGTAACGGATGTAACCGAAGTCAACTGGACTATTCGTAGAAAGTAGAAGTCACGATTAGACTTCACACAATAATCTGCCTCAACGGGAAATCGAACCCCGGTCCCACGAATTTCTACGAACATTACACTATTCACAAAATAATCCACAAGTAATCTACCATCGCCCTTTGGACATCGGAAGGACAGATACTTCGGTCCACTGGGAAGTGACGAGTGAGTGAGCCAATCTGCAACACCAGGACAGATACTGTGAGCTCATTGGCAATACGTCGCGCACCAAGCAGAAGTCATGTAGTAAATTGTGCACCTAATCGTCAGCCCTCGGTAGCTCAGTGGTAGAGCAGCTGACCGGAAATTCGTGGGACCGGGGTTCTATTCCCCGTCGAGGCTGATTATTGTGTAAAGTTTAATCGTGACTTCCACTTTCTACGAACCTTACGCTACCCACAAACATCCTTCAAGTAATTTACCATCGCTCTTTGGACATCAGAAGGACAGATACTTCGGTCCATTGGGAAGTGACGAGTGAGTGAGCCAATCTGCAACACCAGGACAGTTACTGTGAGCTCATTGGCAATACGTCGCGCACCAAGCAGAAGTCATGTAGTAAATTGCGCACCTAATCGTCAGCCCTCGGTAGCTCAGTGGTAGAGCAGCTGACCGGAGATTTGTGGGACCGTCGAGGCAGATTATTGTGTGAAGTTTAATCGTGACTTCTACTTTCTACAAACATTACACCACTCACAAAAAAAATCCACAAGTAATCCACTGGATTACCTGGATCACCGATCAAGTCCGACGCACTGTCGAAAGGACTGTCCATTCGAAAGTACACAGTACGGACGTGTGCAGTGTTTGGGGCAAATCACATAGCTTACCGATCTTGTGCGCTGATTATCCAGCAGCAAGTGGGAACGGTGTGTTTATTGACAACGTTTTGGGTACAAAAGCGATAAAACCCCAATATTTTGCTAAATTGGCTAAATGAAAGGGCAAGTCGAATCTAGCAGCCAAATCAATGAAGTACTTCGATTCGGTCTCCGTTTCCACTCTGTTGAGCTTGATGAGTAGAAGAGGAAAGTAAGCACCGGTAGAAAGCATACTGTGTTGAACGCGGTTAAATAGATACTTAGACGAGCGATACAAAAATGAGTGCTCACCTCCGACTGCCCGGCGATGATCCCACGAGCATCCAACAGCTTAAGCCTGGCTTCCTCACCTATCCGACTGGTCACAAGGTAGAAACTGAAAGAGGCGTAAGAAATGCAATGGTCACATAACCACACGCAGATAAATATTGTCTCAAAATCTTTCCAGTAACCTGCACCCCGAAAGCAGGGCGATGGTGACTGAAGGACAGAAGAAATGTGACCTGTGATATAGGACTGTCACATCTGGCACTGACGTTCAGGCTATGCTAATGCATTTCGCTGGCTCTCAACACACTTAGAGGATGAGGTGCGCTATATCGCAGTTAACTATCAGTCACGCATGTCTGTTGCCGTAACCTATGGCTTAGTGGCATAAGTTGCTGGCATTCAGAAGTCATGGAGTCGGAGCTCGGGAGGGGTCCGAGGAACGCGCACCACTTGACGAGACCCAGGAGGTCGAAACTGCCGTCCGGCGCTTTTTCAGACTTGTGGAAGCCTGATGGCTGAGAGGGAACTGCGATGAACCAGACCAAAATTATACTTAGAAGTCTCAAACAAGGAATAGGTCGCGAGACGTAGAACTAAGAGTAGGTAACATCTAAAACGCATCTGCTTTGTATACGATCCCAGTGACCGAAGTCAGAGGGGATCAATTTTAAGTATATCTATTGAGGGTTACTTGTCAAATGATCATGCCAAACAGGGCATGCCTCGTAAAATCGAGAATATACATTATTATTAAAGCAGTAAGAAGACATACGTTGCGATATGGTGCTCAAAAACCAACAAGAGTTGAAGTCATCTTGGTGTTCGAAGGAAATCAAATAAGTAGTGGGATCAAAAAAATATATAAACCCTTTCTGTATACCTCACGAATCCCAGGTGACCATCCAACTTGCCTTCCAAGCAGCTGGACTATTGGGATAGCGGTTTTAATGATAGGATTAGCTGTATCAGAATTCGAAGGTCATCACAGAATTGTAATTACACTTGTGAAACTGAAGAGCTGTTTTGCTTATATTTCCAAAATAATTTTACAGTGTACGGCCGCCAAGCTGAACAGCGAAGGTTGAAAGTGTATTGAAGTAGTTAATCACCGCAAACTTGTGTTTCACTCCATTGCGGAAACCACGTGGGCGGTGACCGTGTGACTATTGTCAAGTTGGTCATTTGGGTGTGGCCCTAGCGCGCGTGTCTTGATGGTGTGCAAGCTTACAAGGAAATACTGCTCAGCGCGGTAGTTGCAAAACACATAGAACGCATCGAGCCTTAGTTTTGAGTTGTAGATGAATGTACTCCTGCAAAAAGGTGATCGGAATAAAAGGAAAGAAGTATACCACCCAAGAAAGGAAGCAGGTTACGCTCTAAGTAAGCGATATATTTTCAAGACAGGACCGAATTCTCCAGCATTCTAGATGGCTCATCACACTAATTCAAAGTAAAGCCACAAAGGTGTGCAACCTTGAGACGGATGTCAGCAGGCGCTAGCCGATACTCAGAACAACTTAAGAGTCGGTACGGTTGTTAGCTAATCAAATGATAGGGTGCACGAAACACCTAAGCAGTGACGAAATGCACTTACGTTTGCAGCTCTTTCAGGTAGACAGCAGGGACGACGGAGATGCATTGAATATGTTCATTTGGATCCAGAGCACCAGTTGGAAACAGCTGATCTGCAGTAAACTGATTTAAGAAGATAGGGAAAACCGAATCAGCACTAGTCAGCTGGGGAAGTTAGATCTGAGAATGGTAAATGACATTTCTTAGCCGAGGACCCGACCGACTCTTACGTACTGCTGTGGTCTCTGGTCCACTTTTAACGGCTAAGCGCGGCCAGGGCAAGAAACCCACCTCTCAGGCAGCCCGACTCCACAATACGCACACGCACTCCTCTGCTGCAGGGGAGCTCGAGAACCGCACGTCTCCTTTAGTTTGAGCGAACAGAGCAGCTTTCGATCTCTCACCTTAATAACCCAACGGACAAGGCCTGTAACATAGGCTAAGAGCACGTTATCTCCCACCCTTTGCCCCACATTCCAGGCCGAATGCGTTGCCAATCCGGTCAGCATTTTTAACGGGCGAAAAATACTGAAAGTGGTGGTTTAAAGCGAAACGATACGCGTCGCACACAAATACTGAGTGAATCAGGGAACAAAAATTTAATGTGCCCTAATGGATGGAGGCTGTGCTACTTGAGAAATCGAACTAGCTGAAGCAGAAGATATATACTTTTTTCAATTGAATCTGGTTGTACAAACTTAGCCATTTTTGCCATATTTTAGGCGGGCATCAAGCAAGTAGCACATTACGGTTAGTTTCAGGCAAGCAATGTATCTAGGCTGCAGTTGAGTGAGAAGCAAAGCTGTTTAGTCCACCAGTTTCCAACTAGAGGGAAGGCACTTTGGTCGCTACTAGTGCACAGACTACATTCCGTTAGCTGAAATGAACAAAATACGGGATCAGTGAGGCCCGCGTATGCCATTTGTGTTTTGTTCTTACTGCGTGAAGGGACGATGAGAATACGATCGGTTAAGTACACAGCTATAAATAAGACTTCCTACCAGCCGCATGATCGCACGAAATTGGCCGTCAAGCCTCGAGATGAGAGCGCCAACGGGACGGAGCACCTGTCATCAGTCCAATTGTAGGGAGGCGGAAGCCAACGGCTACTCGAGAATCGAAAAGACAACAAAAACGGGGTAGTAGGAAATTATCAACGGGCGCAATGGATGAGAGGAGACAAGGCAGTGCAAAGTTTTGATTGGTTCTCCGAGCTGAGTAATTTAATGGCAAAGGTTTCACCACTTCGCTCAGTGACATCTTCAGTGCACGGCTGCGTAGAGGATACTCTCACGGAAATTGTCGTCGAGACGCACTGTTTGCAATTAGCCTCGTCGATCCGTGTCCCTTGACCACTGTTCGTCCGATTTTCGGCCGCCCATTTCATGCTTTCTCAACTGTAGGTACATTGGATCGAGGTCAACGCGGTTCACTGAATTCTACGTAGAGAACCATGCCTCAAGGAATTCTCTTGCTTTTCCGTGAGAGTATCCTCTACGCAGCCGTGCAATGAAGATGCCCCTGTGCGCAGTGATGAAATGTTTGCTATTAAATTACTCAGCTCTGAGAACCAATCAAAACCTTAACTACAAAACCTGGGCTACACATATTTCGAATCCTTGCAAGGCAGTGCAAGCCTTGTGGATCGAGCCGAGAGCCGATCACGAGCAAAGTCTGGTAACGAGTCTGGGCCCAGAAGAACGGAGGAGGTAGAGGCAAGCATTCCAAGAGCCAATAATGAACTTTAAACCCCTGTGTCAAGCGCTGCAGTGGAGCTCTGGCCTAGTGACCAAGACGAAAGCCGTCAATCTCAGCTCAAGCTATCTCTATCTGAAGTGTCCAAATAAGGACGAAACCGGTCGGTCGTGTTGGGAGAAAGCAGCTTCGTAACCCCACTTCGGGTGCGGTCCCAGTGATCGAAACGGCATGGGTTTGCTTCAAAGCAAACTGTGGCCTCAATCGAGATTGCGCGTCGTGATCCCGACACACGGCGGGTTTTTCCAAGAGCCAACAATGAACGGAGGAGGTATTTGTCGATAACTCAGTTAATCAGATAAATACGCCGCCAGGGAAGCCCACAGGACTGCACGCGGGCCGAGTGATGCAGCCAAAGCAAATCGCGAACTTTTGAAGGACTCCTGGCTGGTCAGAATCGGATATAGCGAAGCGGAGATATGCGACGAAACATAGAGAGATTGTTCCCTGGCTAAAGCTCTTAAGGCACTGGAATGAACCGTCTCCAATTCCTCATGCGCGGTGCGTCGTGGGAAAGGAACACGGTCCATATCTGTATGGGTTTGCGAGTGGTCAGTTTTGCGCATGGTTGTGGCAATAGGCGCTATGCTCCTCCTCCCGCGTCGTTCTCCCTATACAATGTCCACGTGTGTTGGCGACCCATCTTCATCGCCAGCGCTGTAAGCCGGAACAAGGCAAGCACGAGGAGACGGCTGTAATCTGCACACACGGGCAATGCAACCTCCGCACACCTTTCATTCACCTCACACTATCATCTGGAGCCACAAGTCACGTGCTTCGCCTGGGAAACAGTGACTAGGGATAGCCAATCGATTTCAGTCGGAAGGATCTAGCACTTTAGGTTGAGTTTTGCAGCATCCGCCATGCGTTTGGATGGAGACACGCAACCTCAATGAGACTGCGGTTTAGTTTGAAGCAAACGTCGGCCAATGGGATCACGTTCGAGGGTTTCAGTCGCTTAGTGATCAAGGCGTCACTAGTCAACCAATAAGCCCCGGGTTCCAATCCCATTGCAGGCTACCTTTACCTGATAAGTTTAAACGAGGACGAAACCAGTCGTAGAGTGCAGCACTGGGATAGAGCAACACCAGTCTCTTGACTTGGTATTCTGTTTAATCGATTGATGTGGCTGTAATGTAATGACATGGAACCAAGTGGGTCGCGATTTATCAGCCATGTTATACTTGATCTGATGCAGAGCTTACTGTCAGATGGAAACTGGTCAACATAGTTAAAAGTTTGTTACACCTCCACAGGGGTTGCCGCGTCACAATTCTGTATTGGTCATTACAAAACGACCAATTCTATAGTTATCCTCGTTCGCTTTTTTAGTTGTGTATGTAATTCAGATAGACGTAACGAGGTGAGGTAAAAAGTGAGATAAGGAAATGTGAATTCAGATCCGTCGATCAGCGCGCTTTCCTAACAAACAGCTTACTTGATTTGCTTCGAGGGACACTTTGACCGGTGTGCCTTTGTGGACCGCAACAATGGAACGTTGGTACTCGTGGCAACTAATGAGCCAGTGACCCCTACAAAAGAGAGGAGTGACTAAAACAATAAAACTAAACTAATGTGATGAACTTCATTAACAAATTTGGCCGAATTATGTTCAGGTGAGGAAACGCGATGGCTGTCCTGATTTGGGGCTTTTGATGTGCATATCCTTAGTACAGATAGGCGAAGGCTACAGTAATTACAAAGGTGGGCATAACGCGTACGTGTTAATGTAAAACCAGCATGAGTCGCAGACTCGTGAAAGATGACACCCGTAAAGTGTTGTCAAAAATTAATGGTACAATCCATTCCTCACTAAAATAGTCTTGCTCCATATAGACTGTGCACGATGTACTTAGTTCACAAGTCACTAAGTGGATAGCACCACTTATGTGAATCATTTCCGGGCAAAATCTTTCTATAGAATATCCTACACGGTGACTGACGGTTGTTCCACTTAACTCTAAAAGTTCCATGATGTTTAGCGCAGTCGTAGGTTTGAGTGCAACTTAGATGCACATCGTGAGGAAAACTAGACGCTCTGACATACAATGGTAAAATGGTCAACTGCGACCCAACTAACATTCTATATAAATTCATCGGTAAACTTAGCGACAATGTGGCAATATTCGCAAATGTAAGTGAAAAGCGACTGGACAAAGAAGACACTAGATTTCTCAGCTACTATCTCCGCATTCCTGGGTCAAGCAGTCATCAACACAATGACGATGAGCCCGTGGAGTTTGGGCAAATGCGCTAGCTTTAACACGGTGAAATACTTGACCGAAATATCGGCTGTACTGGTACCTTGTCAACACACCCACAAAGAATCGTCTAAGGAGTTCAGTATAGAGGAATAAATTAAAAAAAATAGCACAAGACCTCATTAAATGCTAACTTACTTGGGTTCAGTCGCTGACTTTAGTTGCGTGACATTGCAGGTTTCGGTGTTAGCGGTATGTAAGCCATGGGGAATAATTGCAAGATCCCCGTTGCAAAGACTGAGTAATAGCTTGGCATCTTCGTTCGAAGAATCCACTGGCCTCATGAAACACATGTCGATAATAGCGGAATTCAACGACAGGCTGCATGCATAGACGATAGAAGGCACGTTGAAAGGCAAGGAAATGAGTGGAAGCAGTTCTCGATTATGGGTATCGTTAAGATGAACACGGGGGGAACCACTCGATAGCATACAGTGGAGTGACTATTTTCAATTGTTCATCACGGTCATTATCGAGAGACATCAACCGAAGCATTAACTAGCAGGAACACAAGTCGATCCAAGGTTGCAGGATGTCGGAACACCCGCCGTGTGTCTTGGATCGCGGCAGGCAATTTAAAATTATGGCCATTCTGATCGCTAGGACCGTGGAGTGCTGTGATGGAAGAAAGCAACTCCGAAATCGATCCAATGTTAACTACTAGGAGTAAGAAAATACCTAGAACTCCATGCCACACGACATGTTACACCAGAACTCTTGAGCGTAAATGTTGTTGTCGGAGAGGGTGATGTGATTAAAGAGATTAATTATTTAATTCTGGGCTTGAAGATGACGCCGTCTGACGGTAAAAACTAGAAAAGATCGGTCAAATCTAAGGTGAATCCTGAAGATGTAGATCACTACCGGTCTGTTCCTCGTTTAGACTATGCAGAGAGAAGTACCCGGCTGGTATCTAAAACACTCAAAGAGCCAGCAACAGAGTGGTGCCACTAAGTCAACTAAACACCATCCGGGTGGTGAAGATCAAAAGATGACCAATAATTCAGTGTGAATAAGGATAGCTTAGGATGAAAGATTCACATATTTGGTAACCAAGCCAATCCTCATTATTGATGCATGGCATTGGACTCGAACGGCTGGCAAGTTAGGGACATTCTTAATGTTAAAGGTACTTGCTGCGTATCATCATGAATGGGCGATATATATATATATATATATATATATATATATATATTCACAGTCTGTCAACAGACATTGTGCCAACAGAACCATGGCAGAAGAAAAAAATTCAGAAAATTGTAACACGAAATGCGATAAAAATGGAAAATGCTTGTTTTGGTTTTACACACGCCATTTTGATTTTTTTGTTTATGTTTCGTGAGTTTCTTGTGTGCATTAAAGGGAGGATAAAACGGCAGAACAACATAGACGCCACTGATGTATGTGGCCATCCATGACGTCCAATGTCTCCAACCACTGAGATTCAGCATCTCGTGGTCCCCAACCTGGAAGACGGACTGGTCCGACTGCCGCCAAACTTGAGGTTGCCTTCTTCATGCTTCTTCTCCACCTCATTGGTTGTCCACCGCGGCACTTTTTCCAGTCGCTCCCTGGGAGTGCAAATAGCGCTCAGCGTGGAAAGCGATGGGCTAGCATGCGCAAAACGTGTCCAAGCCAACGCATGCGATGTCAGAGAAAAACTTTCTGAAGACTTGCACTACTCGCTCCAAGCATTCGGTCTCGGACCTCTGCGTTGCTTACGCGGTGTTGCCACTACACCCGAGCAACCCTTCGTAGACAGCGGTTGTCCAATATTGACAACTACTTCATGTCTTCCGAGCGAATAGGTCAAATGTCACAGCCATACAAGAGAACTGCACGGACAGAAGCATTGTACACCCTGCCCTTGAGCTTGAGACTGACATCACGATGGCGCCAGTTTGATGAATGTAAGGCAGGCCTTTACAATCCGTTGTGCGACTTCATCTCCAATACCGTCACCAGCCGTGATGCAACTTCCTAGATAAGTAAAGCAAGTGACTTGCTCCAGTACATGTCCAGCAGTGGTGAGCGCGGGTTCAGGCACCTTCCAGTCCTGGAGCAGCGTTTTACGTTTTCCCGGAGTGAAAAAATAAGTCATACTTAGACGTCTTCAGAGCTAAGCGGTTCAAAGCGCTCTGGACAGTTTGTGGGTCGTCCCCCAGCAAGGTGATAGCATCGGCGTAGTTCAAGTAAGTGACTCTGTCTCCAGGGAGGAGGTCAACACCGCAGCTCTGGACACCTTCCAGTGCTCCTTGGACGACGAAATTCGGCTAGTTCTTCTCGGGAAAACTCCTCTCTAGTCGTTGAAAGCCTGCAAAATAGGACCGACACGAAGATTTTGGATGGGACAGAGATTAATGAGATTCCGCGGTAGTTACAGTAATCGTCGTGGGAGTCTTTCTTGTGAATCGGAACAATCATCGATTCTCCCCATGAGTTCGGAACCTTTTCTTCAATCAGAACTTTCGTGAACAGCGATAGGATTTCGCTGACAAGTACATTCCCCCCATCTTTTAATAGAGCCGGTGGTAGGCTGTCGGGATCAGGAATCTTGTGGTGTTTCAAAGATCGGATTGCATCTCGCGTGTCTGCTTCAGTTGGGGGACCTTTGGAGACAGGCCAAGCATCAACCGTTAGGTCTTGAGGTGCCACAGGGGTCTATGTTGGGTGGTTGAATTGAAGAGCGAAATGCTCTGCCCAGTGACTCAATCGCCTGTGAAGGTTGGTGATCTTTGTGCAGTCTGATTCGCAAATCGTCTAGCTGGTAGGGTGGAAATTGCAACCGGTGGCCCTGAGGATGCAAAATAAACGGCGGCAGTTGCCAACTGATGCAACCGCTTCCATATCAGCTTGTTTTGGCCACGAAAATTCACGATCAGAGCGAAGGCTTGCTTTCAGCTGTTGCGTGTTTGTTGTGCTCTAGGCCAGCAGGCAACGCCCGTCGGCGATCAAGCAATTCCAAGGATCTTCCCGAGATCCAGCTTTTGGGAGTGGAACAAGCGAGGTCGAAGCTAGGCAAACCGGCCGACAGCATGGCTTGTTGCACACTTAACCAGTGTTGATCAACATCCAGAGTCGGAGAGAGAGCGAGATTTCAGGAGGCGTTCATTTATGCTCCTTCTTCACCATTGGGTCCTCCAACTTGTAGTTGTTCAGTCGAGTGTGTTTGGACCCAGGTGAACCACCGTAACGCACATACCATTGCATGATCGGTATTGACGCATGTTGACCAACATGATCGGCAGTCACGTACGCTGCCGCGCAACTTGTGACTTATGGCTAAGTGGTCAATCTGTGACAAACGCTGAGTTGATGATGTGAGGCGCCAAATGGTTTACTGGCGTTCAAAATGACGAAAGTTCGTGCTAGAGAGGAAAAGCTTCTGCCCAGCACACAGACTGAGCAGTCCGTCTCGGTTGTCTGCACGAACATCATCATATCCATGCGTCCCCCGAGGTGGCGTTCACATGGCAGCAGACGACCGACATGCGTGTTGGAGTCTCCTGCCAAAACAATGATATCTGTTTTAGGAGCCCTTAGGAGCAGCTCATGAAGGTTCTGGTAGAACTGGTCTTTGACTGTGTCCGAGCTACAGTCAGTGAATGCGTAGACAGAGATCACGCAGACAGCACGCTTTTCGACTCGACGTCTGCTAACTTTACAAGAGTCATGGAGCCTCATCGCACAAAGACGACTATTGATCGGAATCCAATCAATCAGAGCAGTCTCGGCTCTAGCACTGAGAGCGATTCCAACACCAGCTTGCCCAGATTTCGCAGACTCTATGTTACCAGAGAGCCGGAGATGGAAGCGGGTGCCTGAGTGGAGCGGTGACGCTAGCTGGTAGACCGAGTTAGAGTCCTAGAATCGCGTTTCACTCAGGAACTGATATCGATTCCAAGGGCCTCTAGCGTGCGTGCAAGTCCAGCTTGCTGACCGATCTACATTAATGTGCGTACGTTGAAGGCTGCAAGTTTGAACTGCGTTCCGGGTTGCAGGAGCGAAGACTGGCAGATCTCTGTTGAGCATTGTGTGGTTGAGTTGGCAGATGTCACGAGAACAGGTTCAGCGGTGTAGGTGGGGTTGATCGCCATTGAGGAATCAGGTAAAAATGGGTGTGAATGGTACAAGGAAAGGGTAGGTAAAATGGTGGCGTGAGCTTGTGAAGTTGGCATAGTAGCATGAGGGAATAACATCGTAGCAGCAAGAGAGTGTATGAATGGGTGTAGTTGTAAGTGCATGGTTCGTCAGTGGACGAGATACTACCCAGTTGCCTAGGCCGAAGTAAGTAGGTTCTCTTAGGGACCTCCACCCCGAGCCTTTGGCCAAATGGTCTAGCCCACAAGGCAACAGGGCGAGATGAGGGATTCGCACCCGTTTGGAGCCGGTGACTGGACACTCAGTTCATACGCCTTTCGGACGACGATAAGCCATGCCAGGGTCCCAACACTCCCGAAGTCAGAGACAAGATCCGATGCTCGGATTGCTTGCCGGTGTACAATGTCTCCAAAGGAGACAAGGGGCAGTGACTTTATTTGGTGAAGAGTCACATCCACCACGTCGCAGTGTTGTTAAACGGACATTTGTGGCTTTTTATAGGGAGAACGCTTGCCAGGCGAAAACCCACCACCTCCTGGGACACTGCCGCCGAACCATTCACCGGAACGGGAAATTCCCGAACCGCCCAGCCGGCACCACGAAATTGTTCGGCGCTAACTATTCATTGATAACACAGTCGAGTTAAATGAAAATGAATACTTAGATGGGATGCAAAAGATTTAGGTGGATTGAGAGATGTATACTTTCAATGATCCCAGGAGATATAAACTGTAAGTGGTCCAGTGTACCGAAGGGGATACTTTCCAGAAGACTGGATGATATCCAGGGAGCAGGAAGACATTCTTCAAGAAATAAATGTCTAAATCAAAGCAGCGTCAAAAGCAGTTAGGTGAATATAACCATCTCCAAATTACAATGGCATGTGCTCACAACTTGTTAGACGGGATGGGGGTAAAAAAATATCCATAGTTTACGGATAACTGCTGCCAAACATGATGAATCACTTCGATGACTGCAAACACAGGGTCAGCAAGAGTAGTTGCGTACAGTTATCTTCATGTGGCCTCCAGTCTTTTCCATGGTGTGTCCCGCGAGCAGTTTGGTAAATTTCCTCATCTTGGCAACAGACACGGTGATGGTGCTCCTCCACGCCTGACGAGTAGGCGTGGAGCAGAAGTGTCGTAATAGCTCCGATATTGGTGCATGAGAAGCTGTAGGGACGTCATCAAGATTATCAGGAACACTTAACTCACATTTGGAGCGTAGATGATCCAAATGATCGAGCACAAAGCACCGAGGTATACTCGCATTCTCCTCGTCCCGCTACGTTTGGACGTACTACTGCTTCGCTGCTCCAGGACAAAAGCAAGCCGACGAACAAGCTGTGCTTGCGCAATTTGACGCTCCATCCTGTTCTGTGCGTCTTTGGGGCAGCCAAATGCAATGATAACGCCAGGCGCTAGAATTGCTGTTAATGCGTGCAACATGTAGGATATGTGACCCGCATAGTCAGTAACAGCTGTCACAAGAGTCGATCGTGCATCAGAGACACCCCGGCCTGGTTCATTGAATGATGCTGTTAAAACCGTCAACCTGCAAGCAAACAACCTTATGATTCGCACCTGCGTAACTACAGAGTAAACTTTTACTTTTATCTGCGAAATCAAGGATAAAGATATCAGAAGTACGCAGTGCCTACTGCTTCGATGCCGCGCAACCACCACCAGTCGCACGTGGGCTAAGGATACTGAGATGGTTGCCCGCTCCCTACGCAGGCTCGAACCCATGTCCTCGGATTGCAAGACAGGTCTGTAATCTTTTAAGCTGCGGGTCATCCTGTAGAATAAAACGTGAAAAAGTATGGTGGTCAGCATTCGTCAGACTGCGAGGAAGAGGAAAATATCCCAATACGAATCCCATCGGGGGCATTCCACTGTGAACACAGTGTTTGTGGCAACCTCGCGTCGCTGCAGGTGGCTGATCTCGTCTGCGAACAACCAGTTGTGGGCAGTTTTGTTGCTCACAACATAATTCTCGAAAATCAACTAACGTGTCCGAGTGCATACCTCGTGGCAACTTCGTAACCGCACTTGTCGAAAGAGTAAGGCACCCACAGCCACCAAAGGAAGCAGATTTCTGAGGAGCAACAGACTTCTCCATCAAGTTCCGCTCGCGTCGTCTCGCCTACTGTGAATACAGTATCTAGGTCAACTGGTTCAACAGCCGCCGTCAAACAGCGTCAGTGGTCTGGTCCACCAGATGGCTCACATGGTCTACCGAGGGAATAAAGCTGTGGAGAGTTGAAGTGATGCAGTTGAGCCAATCCGTATGAACATAAATCGGCTACAAGTGGGATGTGAGCTCAATATGTGCGCGCGCCAGCTACGGAGCTAATACTATGATGTCCTTGTTAATCACTCTGGAGGTGCACACCATGATGGTTGGTAGGCGTACTTCAAGCATGAGAATACGTGCTGAACACAAGTATGGTATCATTGGTGCAGGAAATTTTGTGCTAAATGCGAACAGAAGTATTAGAAGCGAAAAACGTGACACCATATGAGTCAATATGGAAGTTGCAAAGCATAACCGTCAGCAGCCATTATTAATCGCCATATAGTGTCTTATGACAGTTGTTGTTTTAGTGCTTGAGGCGTTCGTGCAACGGCCTACGCTGCTCTTGGCAGGTGTGGTGAGAGTACCCTCCCAGAATGTACAGCCGAGTCTAAGGCATTATCCAGATAACCAACAAGAGACGAACCTGAAGGAGTTGCTTATTTGGCGCTGACTGACTGATGTGCGTGGGTGCCACGGTGAGTTCCTTGTTGTTTGTTTAACCGAGTCAAAGGTACAAAGGGTATTTTTTAATAGACGTGCACAAACAATGTATTTCGAGAAGTTCGGTGTGTCGAACGTGCTGTAGGTTACGTTGATCCGCTCTTGCTAAGTGAACATTTGACCCTGAAAGACCGAGCTTTGCGATAGCGGGTACGCACACAGTAATACATGCCCAAACTATACTCTGTCGCAAGTACTAACGTAGATCATATACGCTTGCGCACAAGTTGCAAACTTCCAACCCAGGCGGGTAGAGGATTAGTTGTGGGTCAACCCACCGTTTACCTGGAGTGAAGACCTGGTGGGTCTCTTTAAGTGCACAGAGGAGTCTAACCGTGATCATCTCTAGTTAAAATTTGTTAGAATAAAGGAGAACTAAGGAAAACATGAAAGGATAAGTGGGTCGATGAGGTAAAAATGAAGCCAACATGCTTGCCATGTTCAGCCTCAGACTACACTAAGGCTGACTCTGGTGAGCACCTGTGGTTCACTCCTGAAATCCGAACCAACAACGGTGAAAGAGAAGCGCTTGAAGCTATACTCAAGATACAGCGTAGATTTCAAGCAGAGAACAAAAGAGAAAAAATGATGCGATAGCATGGAATCGGTAGTCTCGAATAGCCTACCTGTTTAGTTTCGGCCTGTCTTCGGCCTTCATGTCTTGTGAAATCTGTTGTAATTTATCAACTGACATGGATGCCCATTGCTCCAGAATAGGGAAAGACTTCTCCGGGATGGTCAGATGCCAGACTTGTTGACCCGTGGCCACACAAACAGTAATAACTTCCGCTGACGCGATTGCCAGAATGGCGATTATAGGCGCAAGAGACTGGTTCAACGAATCAAAAATGATTTTAAAGGCTGGAGCCCATCCTTCTTGTTTGCATGAGTTCAATGGCGACAGGATATGACCTAATTCGTTTGCTTGGCGTTCACTAGTCGAGTGCCAAAACAGCACACAACCGTCTGCACCACCGGATAAGAGTAGGTAGTTGGCATCACTTAGCTGTACTCCAGCAAGACAGGTGACGCGATCAGAATGTTGCAGTGGAGTGGCTGCAGTGAAACGGAAAATAGCGTGAAGTGATTATGTGTAGTACACCAAGAAAGCAGTGGGTGATGGGAAAAAGGTGAATAGCGAACAATTCAAAATACTTCGGTAGAAGGGCAAAAGGTGGAGCACATGAGTAATTTGAAGAACAACTAAGCAATAGGAAGCAGTAGCGTATAGCACAAGAACACTTGAATGAGACTGCTGCGTTCATACAAACGCTAATGTGTTGGTCGTATTCAAAACCTGCTTCAGAGAAGTTCACTTCAATAATCTGCGTTGTTTCAGCCTCCTCTAACCGTTTACACACACCTCGGTCATGGGAACAACAAACATAAATATGAACAAGATTCTTCGTATATAAGACCCCTTTGTTCAACTTAATGTACTAAGGGCGATAGAGATGAGCATCTGTCGAAGTCAACCAGTGCGCAGAATATATGATCCCGGAAACCAATGGGTGATCAAGGCAAGTGCCAATCAGGCGGAGCAGTTTTAAGTGGGACAGTGATTCGTTTTTAAAAACTGCGCAAAAATCTAAAAACTGATGATAACAAATGAGGGCGGCCAAATGAAGTGCACGGTCACGAACTGATGCACCGAATGTACATGAAGTTGCCTATCATCTATCACGCAAAGGATATATCAATCCTGATAGAACAACGGTGATCAAGGCCGTAATGAGGAAACGGGTGTGTAACCAACAGAGAAGAGCGACCACAAGTAGTGCTCATCTTCTATAACAGGTTTGTACACAGTTACCAAATTCGCATGCATATATCATAAACCCTAGCAGCTCCCTTCCAGAAGGAGTTTGGTTCTTTATTGGTGAACTATATGCACGCGACAGGACAAATACGAGAAGGGTGGCAAGCGTCTTCGAAGACACTTAGCCCTATTCTACAATCGACTGCCATTAATCTGTTAAACATAGGAGGAGTTTAAACGCCGAGCGCAGCTGTTTCGACTACTGGACGCGTAATGAATACCCAACATGAAGTTACGGTATAAGTAAGGACATCCATGGACATTTTATTGCAGTTTTATCAAGCGGAATGGTAGTCCATTCCTGTACCGCAAGTTGCCACTAAAATTCGGGAAGTATGTTACAGGCAACTCAAATATCGCGATACTGCATCAAATGATTAAACTCTCTATTAGGGGGCACGTAGTCCTGTAGCTGGACACACATGAAGCACGCATATGTAGACTCGTATATTGGGCAAAACGACTTCACACACTACTGTTTTAATGATGTGCGCCAGGACTATGCTGTGGGGCAAAAGTTGCACAGTAACCGTTAGGAATGGATTTCATGGTGCTGGCCCACTCGCTTGAATGATGCATGAAGTTCGGTTGTTTGTGGACATATCTGTCTACGGGGTGCTGATGGCGAATGCTGAAGGTTTGTATTAAGAGTGATCTCAGGCGGATGTACCAGTGTCCTTATTTGCGCACGTAGGAAGGAACCGAAACAACGACCTGGTTGGTAAACTTACTTTTGAAGGATGAAAAGGCTCAAGTTAAGAGAGGCCTTCTTCATTGAATTGCCAATATGGACGAAACGGTCATCTAGCGCTTTCCTGAATGTGTGCTAGCTATCTGACTGAGTCTAGCCCCGATAAAGCTCAACAACCCCACAAAGCACCCCCTATGTTTCTCTACTTCTGTCAGAGAGGACTTACCATATGTTAAACCGTGGAAGTCGGTAAAACCCATGCTGGGATGTGTGGGTAACAACGTGGTGTCAGCTGTAAAGCGGGATTATTTTCAAGAGTGATTCCATTAGAGATAAAATTGACATAGTATGCCCTTAATGTTGCTGTCGGCTTCGATCATGTATCGACTCCCCAATTAAAGGTGCTCGGAGACTCGTGGCTGCTGGCTGGCACGCTTATCAGCAGGCAACCAGCATCTACAGACAAAGTTCACCATGACGATGTGAATTTATTTATACCTTGGATACCCGGTTGGATGGCTACGAGGCGAACAGTGGTCGAATTGAAATCGTCTGTCAACCCGCTCATAAAGTGAGCGCCACAAGCCTAACGATGAATTAGCGCTAGCACTGTCTCATACAGTTTTTTTATAGTTCAGTGTTGGTGAAAAAAGAAAAGACGAGAAAACAGCACGATACTATTCCAGATCATGCCATAAGCATATAGCTCGTTTTTGATCGCTACTCAGTGGAGTAACCTGGAATTATTTGTGGCTTCGAGCAGATTGCAAAATTATCACCCCCCCCCCCAAGTGGTCATAAAGAAGGCTGGTGACGGAAAAAGGAGGTGTTCGATCGCAGTCAACAGAACATCATTCGTCATATTCCTTGCAAGTTTCTCTGTAAGGAGTAGTAAGTGGCATTCCAGAGCGAATTTCTACTACGTAGTTGCTTATCTAACTGTGCAGTCAGCTGCGACTGCACTTGCGTACTCAAAACAGCCCCAGTTTCGAGGGTGTACCTAAGGATTTAGATAGGTTGCTGCGGCTCATCTAACGAAATAGGCCAAATGTGTACATAGTCTGCACGAAGCGGCTTGAACGGCGATTCGCTCACATCTCAATTGCAGCCCTACATGAACTACCATGAAAAACGACGCAGCAACCACCATGTATAATACTTCGACTTGTGGTATTACAACCCACGTCCAGGACTAGTTGACAATTCGGTGCGCCAACCACGAGGGCAACGATCTTTTACACAATCAGCGTATACTTATTGTGGACACTGAACAATAAAGTTCGGTTCAACGAACCAATTTGGAATGAAATCGAGGGGAGAAGTACAGTGTAATATGTCTAGATCAAAAGCTTAACAGCTGCATAAAGGGTTGGTTAACAAGAGTAAGTAATAAGTTACTTTGCAAAGCGCGACAACTGCGCCCCAGACAATCGATAGCCAATGGACTGTAATAATTTAGGTGGGCATGAATTCTTACTCACACAAGCGGTGGAACTGCGCAGTAGTGAGTTTGTCCGACATTTAATTTGTTACAGTTACAAATTCTCTAACTTCATACTGAAAATGGTGAGTTGTGATTCACAAAGGTTAAGTTTACCTGTCGCACTATCTTGTGAGCTTGGTAGCCACCAATAACGAACGTCATGACCCTGCATACTCTCACACAGTTCGTCGCGTGGAGCCACACTGACCAACAAGGAGTCTGAACCAGAATTTGTAGGGTCACAGGTCGCAAGACCAGTCGCAACAGAAACCGGATGGCCATCCAATAGCGCTCGACACTCAAGCATTAATGGAGCCAGGAAGCGGAATCGGAGGATGTCACTGGAGAGTTTTGTGCTCAAAGCATTCGGCATGATGTGCTGGCCAACAATCAAGCGCAAACTGGAGGCAGTCCGGGCTTGTGATGAAATGCTCCGGCGATTCTGTCCAATGGAAAAAATACACGAACGACGTTTTTTGGGTAAACAGCGGAAAATACCCGCGAGAGCTGCCGGATTTGTTTGTGGTGATTCTTCTTGTGAAACTACGGTGCATTCGTCGGACATCTCAACCGTCGCTAGTTCCGATTCCAATTCACTGGCATTTGTCGCGGTAGCACTGTATTTGTCCACCTCAGATTCCCCCTCTTGTTCCAACGTGTACGCTGGCGGTACGTCCTCATTTGATGTGCTCAGGGAGCAGGCTGGAAGAAAGGGTTATTAATAGGGTGTTTCAACTAACCTTTCAGACTGGGTATTAATTCAGTTTTCTCATCGTTTGTTGGTACAAATGGTAAACTCATCAGAGCATGATAGTTATCGATGGTCATTGTAACCTCATCCGAGAGTTTAGCAAGAGGCGCGAACTCTGCAAAAGGATAGCAAAGCGATGCATGCTGAAAAGTGAAACACTGAAGATTGAATCTAAAATCACCTTAACGTCAAATTGCAGATAGTCCATCACGCAGAGTGCCAATATAATTGAAGAAACCGTTTGATCGCAGAGAGTGAACCTTAGTTTTCGAAGCAACTAAACTTCCCACATGTTAGTTGAGCACGCTTACCTTTGGGCACATTTACGTGGGATACCAGCTACAGCACAAACGTTGACGTTGTGTGCTCACGCCATTCATGTAATGTGTCGTTCGTCAGTCGAGAGCAGCTTCAGTAATGCAGAAACACGTAGCCTTCTTTGGAGGTTAACAGACCCAAATGAGATAGAAATATGTTTCAGCCCCTTTTGCATTAGAGTCGCTTGCTTCCAACATCGAGAAATCTCATGTGCCATTTAAATTGTTTCGGTCAAACAGGCAACGTCAGGTTGCGCTTTAGTGGGTGCAATGTGCAACAAGATGACCGGTCTCGATAACGTGAGAACTTGTCACAGCCAGTATGCGTACGAACAGGTAGACTAGCGGAGCGCAATTCACATGGACACAAAAGGTTTCACCATGGGATACCTAAGGATTATCTGTAATATATAACAGTGTAGTGAGCACGAGAGAAGGAAGCGTTTGTGTGGAGCTCCGGGTGCGTGGTGGTCATTCGAGGCTCGAGGGGATAAATTTGAAGGGAACTTTTCAAATGTGTTCTAACGAAAGATAAATAGTCGCCTAGACTATCACATAATGAAACAAAATAACTAGCGGTTTGTCTAAGGAGGCTTTGACTTCAGCAAGTGATCCAGTTAATTGCACAGTGGAAATTTGCACGGTTCAGACGCGTCATGCCACAAGTTGTAGCGGTCTACCGAAACCACATATAGTCAAACGGCTCAAGCGGTTACTCTATGGAAAAGATGACCATTGGCTTAAATCCGGTAGGATTCGAGGAAAGATGGGCATAGAAGCGGTGTTCAAATAGAGTGAAGTGGATGCCTAGTGTTTCCCCAGCTTTCGATGGTAGACTTTGTAATTTTAGAGGCAACAAGTATACTTAAAAATCATTGGAACTGTACCTGGCCAGTCGATTAGAAGATTCAGTCAATTAGTGAATCCTCCAAATAAGTCTCTTGTTAGAAGAGGCCTTCTCGACAAAACTTAATATTGATTACAGGGCAGTAGTAGGGGGAGTTGAATGGTATAAGTAGAAATTCATCACATCTAGACTCACTCAGAAAACAGTCACACACCCGGAAAAGCACTGTACGCGCGTTTCATCCTTTCGGGAATCGTCAGCAGTGCGCATTCCATCGGACCCTAGTAGGGTTGGAACCGGCAACTCGACCGTTGCCAGTCCAAGGTTGAGACCACTGAGCTACGGGGGACGGCAACGACCATCGTGAATAAATTACTAGATGCGATATAGTGCCGCTCACTATTCACTGGCTTGCACGTTACTACCGTGCAGAGGACAGGGTATCCCCCTCACCACTTAATATCATTCTGTGCGGCATCTATTAGTAAAAATAGGGATATATCATAATTCATGGATACTCGGCCCGAAGGGCAACAAGGGTAAGTAACAAGTCACTGTAATAAGTTGGACAACTGCGCCACAGACAGTCGACAGCCAGTGGACTGCAATACTTGCAATGGGTGGTATCATATAGAAACCGTGGTTAAAACGTAGACAGCTAAGAAATTGGTGAACTTACGCCTGGTTTCGGTGGAGTTTATACCAAATAGCTTCAAATTTACTATGCGTCCAGTTCTTCCGTCTGTGGGCTGCTCGCTGAAATCCAGTCGGCTGACATGCTCCAAACGGTTTTCCTTCGTACGTCTCCAAATCTTCACGGCGCCTTCAGCAGAGCCGGCGGCAACATACTGAGCCTGTGATAGAACGCAGTGCGTAAAACGTTTATTTCAAAATAGAAAAAGCGCACCCCATGTCGTAGAATAGCCTTCAAGCTTTTGTAATTATTTTGAAAACGCACTGCTTAAAACCCCACTCTGTAGCTCAACATCTCGGAGAACATCAAACTGACCGTTTGCTACTGTGGAAGTTTATTTGCTGTAACACTAAAACTATCGGAATGTTGTAATACCCCAACGATTGACGTCGTTGAAGGTAGGGGGATACATCGAGTTTTTCCACGTGGCAGCTGGTGACCAAAGTTGCTTCTAGAGTCAAGCGCTCGTGGCACATAATGTGCCGCACACCCAGGGCTAACCAGTGGAAAAAGTTTGGCATGGGCTGCGATCAAATGCGCAGGAGGGCACTTCGCATCGAAACTGGGTTACCTCGAAAATGGCCTCAAGAGTGCAACCACGGGCTAGCCCAGTGATGACACATTGCTATTTATTTGGCCCAATCAAACTGCTGCTAGTTCCAGGTAAAGACAAAGCCTGGTTGCACTTTGCTAACAGTCTAGCCGAAAACCAAGCTTAGATCCATTTTATATAAATAAAGACACAGATGATGCGGTAAAGTAAGAGGTTGACCTCAAATCGTGTGACGGTTAGCAGATGTTTCCGGTGTCTAGGGAAGAAACGAGACACATGGCTGTTGTACATCATCCAGAGAGTGCTCGATGCAGTAAATAGACGCTGTTTGGGATACAGCTCGCATTGCTGAGCTAATTAAACTTGAAATTTTTGTGTACCTAGTCTTTTTGTCGGGTTGGACACCCTGTTTACAAGGGATACATGTATCAAATATCGGCGAGTACATGAAAATGGTTTCAAGTTTGAGATGAACAAAGAATTAGGTAAGCATGCAAACGGGAACTATCAAACTAGTGCATGCAAGCGCAAGGAACGCGTCGCTCCCCATCGTGATTGATAACGTAGGTACACAGATTGTGATATCAGTCAGTATCGGGTCAGCGAAGCAATGAAGTAGCAATCGGTGTAATGTAGATCAGGCCTAAAATTGATGGAACAGCGGCCCTGTGTTCGTCCAGGTTATGGCCTCTTGTTTATCCACAGACAATACCCCCCGTCGGATTGAATGACATATAGATGACAAAGAGGACACCACAACCACGATTATCAACTGACTGGAATACAATTGCTTGTGTATTGACATCTAGCTGGCATATGAGCAGTGGAGCTCTATGGCTCTATTGAGCTGAATGCCGACGCAGGGGAAAGGTCTGATCGGAAGCGGTCTTGACACGTTAGTAATGGGTGCCAAGCTAGATCGGCGGGTGGAGCAGCATGTGCCATATTTATTTGAACGCAACTCATACGAATCATCAAAGATAAGTAGCAAGAGTGGCCTAATAACTAGTAATGTAGGACATCAAATGAAGCTCAATTCCAAATAGGGGATGCACCGATTAAGCTTATTCCACAAGTTTTTCAACTCGTAAATTATGCCAATGTCAAACTCAGAGATCCAATTTGCGAAGAGGCACATCGGACACTGAAGGCAAACTAGAATGATCTTCATCCCACTGACTGTCACAAGACTCGCCCAGAGTGAATCGACGTGAGTATTGATCGAGTTGACCAGTTTTGTTTAACTCGCCACCTTTACTAACCTTAGCACTGTTTTCACTAGCACACTTAGTTGATTTACCTCTTTTTATAAATGTATTGCCTGAAGAAAGCGCCTCATTGCAAATTGGATTGCTGATATCCCATGAATTCATCACTGATGTTAAAGTGTACCCTGCTGGTTAGTTTAGCGGTGCGCGCCCTTGTTAACCATGCAAAAGGATAGGGAATTCCTCTGCTGCGGATTCGGAATAGAATTCGTGGTCGGAAATGCCATGTTGGTTAAGAGAATCGAACGTTGTGGAGGATTGGCATAACGATGCCTACCGGCACAGCCAAAGCATAATGGTATTCATGATAAGGAGGCCAATAGGACTAGAACCTACTCGAGTGTGCAGACGTAAAACCATACAGAGTTGTCACACCGGTGTCCATATTTCTAACCATTTCGCTATTCAGTAGGTTGAATAAAAGTAAGTGTACGAGTATGAGGGCTGGCTGAGCTTGGTGCAGTATAATATAGAGATGCTTTCGCCATATCGCTCAGTGCAATGGCTTTAGGATCGTTTTTTTGTGAAAAAAGTTGAACATGCAGCTAACATGAGATTTGCCCTTTAACGCCAATAAAGGCCAGCTGCTGACTTCCAGCAATGATGGGATTACAGTGCAGACTTCCACTGGACCACTGACATTGCAGCCTGTTGATAAACCATGGGACCTACGTGTATATATTGATCACAATCTGTGTACAAATAATGTGCCATCGGAAGCATGGCGGAATAGGAAAATAGGATTAAAGGATGTTTTATTTATTTGGATGTTTTATTTATTTTTATTTATTTATTGGGGAAGGGAAGGGGAATCACCACAATAAGCATAGATACATGCCCGCCACTGAGTTCGGTTTTGAGCCATGACTTCCAGGGTTTCTAACCAGCGGCACTCAGCATCTTTGGGACCACATCCAGGGAGTCGAGAAGAACCAAGCGAAGCCAGCTGTTGTGTCAGGTTTCATCCTGCTTCTCTAAGTTGTAGGCTGTCCATGACACCGCCTCCTCCAGCCCTGCTCAGCGACCGCGAACAAGACACGACGCGGATGTTGGACGGGCATACGCAGTACGTGTCCGATCCATCGTAGTTGGCGCAGTGAGACAAGCGCCTCGAGAGAGTGGATGCCCTCACGCAAGACACGCTGTTTGACTTCAACCTTGGTTACGTGGCGGTCATGACACATAGGTGATGAACCGCAAGAAAAGGTTCTCGAAGACAGACTGTCGGGCCAATCATCGCAAGTTACAACAGCACATCGCGGAGGGTAGCACTATACACCCGCCCTTTGATGGAGAGACGGATGTCATGGCCGCGCCATAAATGCCTCAGGCTGGAGAAAGCGAGACGAACTCTTCAGATGTGCATCGAAATCTCGTTTTCAACAGCCCCACCAATAGTTACGCAGCTTCCCAGGTAGATAAAACCCTGTACAACTTCTAGTGTCACACCATCGACGGTGAGTGTAAGCCAAGGCGTATGCCAATCTTGAAAAAGCGCTTTGCACTTAGATGGTGAGAAGTGTCATATCTCTACGAAAAGTGTCATTGTTACGAATAGCATCAAAGCCTCAGCACAATGTCAGCATGCTGCCAACAAAGCGCGACAGAAACTTTCCCGCCTCAGAATGACCCGATGTAACACTAGATCGGAGGTATTCCCCCTTTATGTAGAGCGGTGGAACGATTCCACTTAGAATACTGTGTCCAAGCGTGGGCACCGTATCTCCAAAATTACGTTATTTGTATAGAGAAGGTTCAGAAGCTGACGACTAGAATGATTGGGGGCCAGCGCGAAAAGCCGTATGATGAACGTCTAAAGAGCTTGGGATGGTTTTCCATGAAACGACTTAGATTGAGTAGCGATCTGATAGAGCTGTTTCGGATCATGTAGTGCCGCAGTGGTATCAGGCCTACTGACATGTTTGAGCCAGCTACAGCAGGCCACCTGAGAGGTCACCAACATGTTCAAGCATCGGTGGTCCTGGCTAGATATCAGGGGAAATACTTTGCGAACCAGGTGGTTGGCAGTTGGAACAAGTTTCTCCCTTCGTTGATGGACTGTACAACGGTTGACGCCTTCAAACGGCCTTCTGGGACCGGTGAACCGAAAGGGGTGGAAGAGTTTGCGGAAATTGCCAGAGAGAGTAGCGGTCCCATCTCCGAGGCGCGCTAAGACCATCAAGTCTCGCGGTAACTACGCAAGCTTTGTTTGCGTTCCCGATGGAGAGTTTGACGTACAGAATTCTAAGCTGACTCTGGTGGCACATTTCGACGGCGGTCAAACAGTTCTAGAGGGCGAGCGGAGCTCCAACTTTTCAAAGGGTTGGGTGAGACCACAAAGCGATTGACCAGAGGAAAGTATCGCTTTGTGCAAACAAGTTCAACGTTGCTCAACATCCTGGAGTGGACTAGAGGTGAGAGCGTCCGATAGTGCAGCTTGATAGCAGTTTGACAGCGAGTTAGACTAACCAGTTTGTGTCAATCTTACGTTGCAGTTGTTTCCGGGGTCCACCGAAGCGCATGCAGATGTTCGCACAAACCAGCGCGTGATCTGAGTCGAGGTAGGTTGACCAGAATGACCTGCAGTCTTGTACACTAACTTGCCAACGGAAACTGATTGCGATGTGGTCGGTCTGGGACCAGAAATGTATTGACGACAGTGAGTGCCAGCTGGCGGAACGTCTCTTGTTATGCCTGAAATTGGTGCTGGAGAGAAACAGGTGGTTGTCCCCGCACAGTGTGAGAAGCCGGTCCCATTGTCTGTGTGTCCCTCGTTAAGCGCGTGCTGACCTCTAAGGTGGCGTTCAAATGGAAACAGACGACTGACCTGTGCATTAAAATCACCAGCAAGTATAACAACACCTGAGTTGTCCACTTTACTCAGGTGTACTTTGCTGTAAAAATTGTCCTTGACAGAGTCGCTGCTGCAGTCAGTTGGGGCCTAGGCAGAAACAACAAACAAGTTGCGTGTTAGCGATGTCTGTTGATACGACATGATCCCTGAAGCCGAACTGCGCAGAGCCGACTGTTAACTAGTAACCAGTCTAGCAACGCCGCTTCGGCTTTTCTACTTAGCGCTATCCCAAAGCCAGCCAGACCTGCTGCAGTTGCTTCTGCGTCAGTGGACAGACGAAGATGGCATATGGTTCCGCGAGTAGAACGGAAGGTCAGACTTACTTCTGGGACCTAGCAATCAGGTTTCGGAAACGCAGCAAACGTCAATGGCGAGAGACTCCAGGGCACGCGCCAGGCAGGCCTATTGACCAAGCTGTACAAGCGTTCGTACATTGAAGCAGGCCAAGCGGAACATCGATCCAAGTTGAAGTATGGCTGTCGATT